TATTCATTCAAGAAGATATTGAAACATGATTAATTCACTCCCATATTAAGGCAAAACTCCCTGAATCCTCTCTGAATATTCCATTCCTATGTCTCCCACTCAACAGCTAAATCCTTGAGATAGTTTTTAAATTCAGTGGTTTGTTTTGTTTTGTTTTCTTTTCTTTTTTCGTCAACTCCCACTTAACTTTCCATCTCTTACTGAAAGAGCCTTTGCTAAGGATCCCAAGGGCCTCCATGCATTAAATCCAAAGGCCATTTTCAGTCCTCACTTTACTTGATCTTGGGCAACATGTGACACTATTGATATGTCACCCTTGTTAAAACACTCTATTCTCATGGCATCACATTTTTTTTGGTTTTCATTTGATCTCTTTGCCTATTCCTTCACAGCCTCCTTTCCAACCTTATCTTCTTCTTCTTCTCAAGCATTGTATGTTGGAGTTTTTCAAGCTTTAGTCTTAGGCCTTTTTTTCCTCTTACTCTAAAACTTTCCCAACATAGTCTCATTCTTGCTAACAGCTTCAAGTCCTATCTATATGACAATGACCTAAAATGTGCATCTCTAGGTTGGCATTTTGCTTGAATTCCCTATCAAGCCACCTTTTTTGGTATTTCCAGTTGGATGTCTCAAACATACCTCAAACTCAATATACTCAAAATTCAACTCACAGTATTGGCTTAAAAAAACTCTTTAATTATATGAAAATTATATGAAACTATTCCATTGTTTCTCTCAGTAAATAAGGTCATTGATCCATTTCCAAAAGGAAAGAATCCAGGAATTATCTCGCATACCCCTTTCTCTTGTTCTTCGCATCCAATTGTTTCTTCATGTTACAGCCAAAATCATCTTTTTAAAAAACCAAACTGAGAATGTCACTCCTTCTTTAAAGTTTCCAATGACTTTCCCTTTACTCTTAAAACAAGGGCAACAGAGTCTGACTTCTCTCCTTCTCTCTAGACCATTCTTATCTCACTCAAGTCACTCTTTCCTTTGCTCTCTTTATTCCAGCCACACTGGTATTTCTCAATTTCTTCTTTCTATCATAGAGTCTTGTAGATGTTCCCATACACCTCCTGCTGATCTGGAACACTGCTCTCTTCCTGCATAACTCTTACCAAGTGTTCAGATATTAATTCAAGCATCACTGACCGTGAAAAGGCTTTGCCGATACCTTAGTCTAGGGTAGGCTCATTGGCTTAAAAAAACTCTTATATGTGCTTTCGGTTCTTTCCTTTCAGGGCACTTATCCTGGTTATTAATTGCACATCAGTTTAATTATATGAAAATAATTTCTTCTACTATTAGATTTTAAGTTCATAAGAGCAAGAATTATCTGTTTTGGTTCACATAATATTACTAGGACTAGAATTGTGCCTACTATAGAATAGATGCTGAATAAATACTGAACTAATGGATAAAGAATTAAAAATATAATACAAAGAAAGCAGAGTTCAAGTAAGTAGAGACCAGAGAGCCAAAGAAGGAAGTTGATAACAAGTGGGAAAAAAAACCACAAGAGAGGAGTGCTTAAAGAAGAAAGTAGTTAAAAGCTTCATATGTTGCAGAAGAATTAAAAGGCATGAGAAGGAACATGGCATTAAAAGGCATGAATACAGAACAAGCAGAAAATAATTTGTGACCTCTGAGAAAATAGTTTCAGTGGAATGATAGACTCAGAAGCCAGAGAGCGGCAAAACTGAGGAATAAATGGGAGATAAGCATATAGAAGAAGCGAGGAGATCACTTTTCAAGAACGTGTCAGTGAAAAGGAGGGAAAAACAGGCTGCAAGAAAGGGCAGAGAGCTCAGTCACTGGACCATACTGACAGTGATCACAGAGGAAGAATTACAAACTCAAGGCTACAGTAGGAGGCAGATCAAAATGACAGGATTTGCAGCTGACGATGGGAGGTTAGTAAATAATCTTTTAATCCAATTACTTTCTATCAAGATAAGGGTGATAAAAATACTAGTGAACTTTTTTTTAGACTAACTACTCACTAAGAGCAAAGCCAAGTCTAAAGTGCTTCATACTTCTCACTAGAGCTCCCAGTATCTCTGTTAGGGAGTAGGATCATTAGCCCATTTTACAGATGAAAACTCTACTTAGCCACACAATTTGCAATTGACAAAATTGAAATTAAATCCACATTTATTGACTTCTATGGCACACATTATTGATTCCTAATTCCCTTGTCCCTCGACTCATTATAGCTAAGAGTGTCCACACGACCCATTTCCAGACAATGGGATATAAGTGGAAATATGTTCAGAGCTTCCTGGGAAAACCTATTCTTTTTAAAACATATAAATACTTGAATATATTTTTAGATATTTAATGAACTATTATCTATTAAGTTTCTATTAAAATTTACCAGTATTTAAATAAATTCATATGAAATACAAATATTTAAACTGTTTTTAAAGGAAAAGCCTTCCAAGGCTTTTGTCAAACAGATATTTTTGAGCCACCCCATCCTTCTGACTTGGGTGTGATCGTAAATATCTGGCTGCTGTCTTACGACAATGAGGGAACAGCAGAGAAATCACAGAGAAGTTGGACCACTATCAGCCACAGGACAACAGACACCTACTTCTAGACTTCTTGCTATGTGTGGGAGAAAAGAACACAAAGAACCTGGATTTTCTTAAGTCATGTTGGTCAGGTTTTCTGTTATTTACACTTGATTGTATTCCTAACGGATATAATTCCAAAACCCATGCTCCTATCTACCAAACTGTACCACCTGTCATCTATGAAATACAGAGACTGAGGCTCTTCTCCTCAGAGAGTTCTTAAGGAGTTCAAGTGTGAAAAAGCATACACAAATATATTAAAAACATAAAATTATTATGCCAATTTATTACTGTTTCAAAAATAGTCATTTTCAAATAAGGAAAGAGACCTGAGAGTAAAGATCCTATAGAGATACAGGATCGGGCAGCGTTCTCCTAGAAAGACACATTGTCACAGCCTGGGAGATTTTTCACATTACACATGTCTCCTTTTGAGAATCATTGCTAGGGTGAACCACCTCTTACAAATAAGATGGTGAGCATCTCCTTACAGATGTGTTCAGAAGGGGAAAAGGCGGAGGAGTTGAGTTTTATGATGGTAGTGAGGCACACTTTCATTAAGGCATTAGTAGAACAATAATTGATAAAAAAAATGTTTTGAATCCATGGGGAAACAATCCTACCTTATCAAGTTTGGCCTTTCTTAAAATAAAAGTAATTACTTTTATATGGATAGCAGTAACAAACAATAAATAATTGTATGACCCAACAAAGCTGACATAACTAAACAGTATAATGAAATACTAACCAATGGGACCAGAGAGCTCACAGGAGGAAATCTGAATAGGTTTCAGAGAAAGGCTAAAATAAATTTAAAATACTCAATTTTTTAAATAAGTTTCCTCTTTAATTTCTCTTGGTGGAGATCAAATTTACTACTCCCTCATTAAGAAATTAACAAAGTCATTTTGAAAAACTGAACTTGGGGCACCTGGATGGCTCAGTTGGTGAAGCACCTGACTCTTGGTTTCGGCTCAGGGCATGATCTCACAGTTTGTAGGTTCGAGCCCCACGTTGGGCTCCACACTGTCAGAGCCAAGCCTATTTGGGATTCTCTCTCCTCCCTCTCTCTCTGCCCCTCCCCTGCTTGTGTTTTCTCTCTAAATAAATAGATAAATAAATAAATAAATAAATAAATAAATAAACTTTAAAAATAAATAAATACAAACTAAACTCAACATCTCAGGTCCCAAATAATTGGTTTGTTCATTTATTGGATGAAGTGCCAGTATTTTCACTCAATGAGCATCAGTTAAACACCTACTATGGGCCAAACTGTTCTTGCCTCTAGAGCGAAGAGGAAATAGCAGTGAAGAAATGCCCCAAATTGCTTGTCTCTATGGAACTTATATTCTATGAGGGTAAGGAACAGACAGTAAGCAAATAAATAAAATGAGGTTTATGTCAATCAATAATAAGTGCTACAGTGAAATAAAACAAGGAAGATGAAAGGTACGTAGGCAATATGGGACGAGAATGAGACAGAGGTTGGGGCTGGGGGAAGGCTGGTAGCTGCAATTTTCAATACTATGGTCATTTCATGGGACGCGAGCACCTGAGCTAAGATCTGACGGAGCTGAAGAACTAACCCACAGCCACGCAGCTATTTGCTTTCATGCTAACTCTTTTTCTGTTGAATACACCATTGAAAAGGGTCAATCGCTGAATGGCAAAATGATACCATTTTTTTCCCTACAAGTCACCCTGATCCATTACAATCAAACGAAAAGAGGAAAAAAGACATTCCAATGATTGGTAATCTTCTGAATCTCACTGTTGATACATCTGACTTTGGAGAAAAAAGTTTAAATGCTTATTTTATTCCCTTATTCACTGTTTGATACTCCCCAAACACATATTTCAAATGTAGAACATTTTGTTTAGTCTTAAATGAGCCCAAATTTCATCCTGGGCTAAAATTTGAAGACATAAAATGGCCGCTGAAACTGAATTTTAATCATGTAGATGAATCACAACATGCATCTTTAGCTAGGCATGTATTATGGATAAGTCTAGTTTTCTACAGAGAATCATCACATGTTCTAATTACCATTTTGGTTATACGCATAATTAATAATATTCTGTCTTAATGGGACACACTGAATCTTCAGACAGTTGCAAGCTTTAACTATGCAGACTGCCAAATCCAACTGTCAGCTGCCCTGCCAAACACAAAGGAATCTTGATGTTGTGTTTTAGCATTGATAACAGTATGCATATCTTTATACATGATACAATGGAAAAATTAATTGCCTTTCTTTCCTCAAAATTTTCTCCACACTAATAATTTTACATTGCTGGATGGATCATTTGCGCTAAATTATATATATTGGTGAGTGATCTTATGAGCCATAAAAACACGAACGTAATGTGACCCAAGACACAGAGAAAAAATTAAAAAAACATCGCAGGACTTACTGATTGTAAACTTTCATTTTCCCGTAAACAAGCTGTGTGAAGTTCTGATTTCAACGTTGCAATGTGACTTCGATGAGATGTCATTTCCTTCTCTAATGTGGCAATTCTAGTGCTTGCAAGCTGGTAGACATCCATGAAACTTTTAATCATAGCCTTAAGAAATAAATATAATGTCACAGACAATTCAAATAAAGCTGTCCCCAAAGAAGAACTTCCATAATTTGAAAGCAAAGTCATTAAAATTTTAAAATAAACAACTTTTCATCTTTCTTTAAAATAAGAAAGCTAAACTTCACGTTTTATATTGAGAACGGTGACTATTTTAAGAAAGTTTGGGAGAAAATAATTGAGATTTCTTTTCCAGAGTATATATTTAAATAAGATGCACTTTGATCTATTGTGCTTAAAATTTAGAATGCAATTTTTAAAGATGGCACACTTATTTGCTCTGTAAAGTTAAATTCAAGTTGTAATTTGACCTAAATTTCAATCTTAAGACACACGATAGATGGATATATAGAAGCAACATATTTTAAAATGAGCTGAGTTACTAAAATTTTCAATCCACCTAAAAAAAAATAAAACTTTTGAAACAAAAGGAGCTGAAATAATCCTGTAATTGGATAAGAGCAATTAATGTGATTCTTATATTGTACAAAAAGCATAATTTTTTCATTCATATAATAGAAGATTGCTCTTATACTATGTATAATAAAATAAATAACATAAGCAAGTGTGTATAAGTTTTTCTCCCCGCTAAATAAATTCTATTTGGGGGACTGTTAGACCTCTGTATTACATTTTATTCATATTTTATAGGCTTTTTCTTCTAAAGCAACTAGTAGTGAATTTTGAGCCCAAGAATACTATCACACCTTTTTTCAAAAAAGTCTTTTAAAATACTTCAAATATAGCAAAAATCAAATATTTCAAAGACATATTCAGACACGTTATATTATTTACAAGAAAAAAAAATGTTCTAACCACAGCAACATATTAGTAAAATGGTAGACAGTCTGAGCATTTCCAAATTATATTCAATCTGAAGGGTCTGATTTGGAAAAGCTTTGAGAAACGAGATATTTGAGCAATTCCAAATGCACATGAAATAATAATTTGGTGAACAAAAAGTGAGAAACAGTGTATACAGTGTCTAAGAAACAGAAGTACACTAGCCATTTGTAGGTAATAGTAAGAAAATTCATACCTTTTTGCCTAATAAATTCCTATTTGCCCTAAAACATTAAGCTCAGACACCATCTTTTTCAAGAAGTCTTTTTTGAACCCAAAGCACTGTTAATTTTTACTCTGGCCCTGTGTGGGCCCCTCATGCTTGCTTTTACTATAACGTTTATTGCTTTAGCAGAAATATATTAGTTTACGTGTTTATCTTTACTAGACCGAGGAGCTCCTAAAGCCAGACACTATGCCGAATCTCTGTATCACCATGGATGTTAGTGGCCCACGGTGAGCGCTTGTTTGAATGAACGAATGAGTGAATGAATGAATGAAGGTAAAACTGGAAAATATAAAAAAACCACAAGTTGAAGCCATATGTTGGCATAGAATGCCTTATAGGAAAGGATGAAGATATTTGGGGAAATACAATCTTAACACTCTAATGTATAAATTATTAACCATACTTTGTTTAAATCAAAAAAAGAAGTGAAAGCATGGCTGTAGGCACAAAAGGATAGGATACACAAAAGAGAATTCTATTACCCAACACTAAATAAGCCTGGTATGACTTCATGTTTGGGAACATCTCTACCTTACTTTGAGTTATTTCAAGGTGTGCTTATAGCTAATACTAACACAAAATATTCCCCTGGGCTTCAAAAGTATGTAAAATTCAGAAACTATAAAACCATATCTTCTTCTTCCAATGCCAAGTCTCTCTCCACTCTTATAAATTCATTTATCTCCACCATTGAGATAGTGGAACCAAAAATCACAAGTCCTCTCTTTGTCTGGTCATCACTCTACTACTTACTTAGCTTTACACTGCTGGCCAATGTTACGTCATCTCTCTGAACTTCCATTTTATCCCTCCATGAAATAGAAAGAAGGGTCATTTTCTTGCCTACTACCAACCTGTTGTACGGCTCAGATAATGAAAAATCTACGATAAAGTCATTCTCTCAATCCTTCAACTACATTGCAGCAATATAAGAAAGCCCTCTAAAAATGGTAAACTACTGAATTTCATTGAGTATTACCATTGCTCTATTTTTATTTTTGATGTTTATTTATTTTTGAGAGAGGGAGAGACAGAGTGTGAGGGCGGGGAGGAGCAAAGAGAGACAGAGACACAGAATGCGAAGTAGGCTCCAGGCTCCCAGCTGTCAGCACAGAGCCCTGGGCCAAGGCTTGAACTCACGAACCATGAGATCATGACCTGAGCCGAAGTTGGACACTTAACCACCTGAGCCACCCAGGCGCCCTGTTCTGTTTTTAAATTCTCCACTAAGATATTAATGAGACAACCTGTGATAGGTGGTTTGTATACATATGTTCTTATTATATAAGGATCTAAAATGTATAAAAGGCATAAAAAGATATGTAAGTGCTTAATGAATAAAAAAAAGTACTTTTCTATCAGTAATAGGCTCCTGGATTATGATTTCACTGTATGTCACAATGGAACTGGCCTCTAACATTTAAGAATAAAAAAGCTCAACATTTAAAAAGTTATCCTATTTCCTAAATTTGGAGAAACATATTTCATGAATTCTCATGTACATGATACCCTTAAAGGAATACATAATATAAATTATATTCCTTCAAACCTTTTTAAAAAAAAAATAAAAGACTTTTTGAGAAGTTACATCTGAATTTTTATATGGTAGACGAAACAAAAGTCATAATTATTTTGGCTCCTTCCTTGATCTACTTTTTTTTTTTTAATTTTTTTTTTTAACATTTATTTATTTTTGAGACAGAGAGACAGAGCATGAACAGGGGAGGGTCAGAGAGAGGGAAACACAGAATCTGAAACGGCTCCAGGCTCTGAGCTGTCAGCACAGAGCCCGACGCGGGGCTTGAACTCACGGACCGCGAAATCATGACCTGAGCCGAAGTCGGCCGCTTAACTGACTGAGCCACCCAGGCGCCCCCTTGATCTACTTTTAATAACTAAATTCTAATATTCAGTGCAGTATTAAGAGAAATCATAAACTTTTTAGAACACTAAAAAGAATATAGAAATAAACTGTTTTTGCATAGGATTTAGAACATTAAACATTTTAAATCTTTTATTTATTTACTTTTTTAATTTTAGACAGAGGATACAAGCCGGGGAGAGGGGCAGAAGGAGAGAGAGAGAATTTCTCTTTTAATGTTTATTTATTTTGAGAGAGAGAGGGAGAGAGCACACGCGTGAGCAGGGGAGTGGCAGAGAGAGGGGGAGAGGGAGAATTCCAAGCAGGCTCTGAGCTGTCAGCACGAAGCCAGATGTGGGGCTTGGTCCCACAAACCATGAGATCATGACCTGAGCTGAAATCAAGAGTTGGATGCTCAACAGACTCAGCCACCAAGGCGCCCCTAAGATCTTTTAAAGCAGCATTTTGTTTGAGAGATGAAAGCAGGGTTGTTTTTACAACACCTATCTATGATGTCTTTTCAGAGTAACAAGGAACAGTGATAAATACAACATGTTTCATGGCACAAATAGGTTTAAAAACGACCCCACCTTTCTAAAATGAAAACCTCCTTCAGAACTGAAAGGTATGGTGGGGGTCGGGGGTCAGTGACATTGCAGTTATTGAAAGAAGCACCAGATCTTTTGAAGAAGAAAGAATGTTAACTTTCAATATTAAAAAGTGATTCAAACTGTGTAATAAAGGATTCTAGCGAAAATCCATCTCTTTAATACAAAGAAAGGCATCAAGTTGGTAGAATAAGTGGAAATGACAGTCTGGATCAACTGAGGGGGGTGGGGAAGGAAGGAGCGAGCATCTGATGACTTCTGCATCAATCTCCCAAGTCTAAGCTTTCACAACACACCTCTCGCCCATATTAAAACATCACACCGTTCTACATTAGCAAACAACGACAGCACAGCACGGTACTGCATATAGCGTGCCCAGCGCTGGAGAATGTATTCCGTGTCATCTTGGGCCCTGGGGATTTGGACCACGTATCTCAGTGGGGCTTATCTAGTTACACGAGAAACAGAACAAAAGACAGTTTCTGGACCAGAATAGCCTTTTGTTTCAGAGATCATCTAGAGTGTTTCTAATCAACATAACAAGATGAGAGAATCCAAACGAAATTCCACCTCCTGTTCATTCTAAGGAAAAGTATAAGTGTTTTACTGTGCAAAAAAATTCTGAGCTACAAATAGGTGCCTGTCACTTGAGCATGAGGATAATATTTATATAACTCGTTATGTATGTATTATGTAATTTAGGCCGACTTCAAAATTGAATTTCAGGGGAAATGGGATCCTTGGGAACCTGATGTCAGGAGGAGAAATTAGGGGAAAATGTCATGAGACCTAGATGCCAAAATAGTAAATCTTTTACTTGTATTTTTGAGTAATTGGGAGGCAAAAACCTCAGATGTTTCACTTTAAATATACCTATAGATATGCTTCATTTCTATATACTATATAAATATGCCATGTAAAATACCAAATATGTGAAATATAAAAAGTCCCCATAAAATGGGGATAATAATTCCTTTTTTTTTTTTTAAGAGAGAGAGAGAGAGAGAGCAGGGGGAGACCAGTGGGAGAGAAACATAGGGAGAGAGAGAGAAAGAGAGAGAGAGCAAGAGAGAATCTTAAGCAGAGCTTGATCCCACGACCCTGGGATCATGACCTGAGCCGAAATCAAGAGTCAGACACTCAACCTACTGAGCCACCCACGTGCCCCACTAATTCCTACCTTACAAAGATTTTGTGGGGATTAAATGAGTATTAAGACCTGAAAAGACCTTACCTATCTGAAACATAGGAAACACTCAGGTAAATGTTAGCTGTCATAAAGATAATGACATCAAATTAGGAAAAATATTTTTTAGCTCATAAAACAAAGATTCAATATTTCTGAGGGGTATGATTAGACATGATGTAAACATTTTAAATATTAGGTATTCCACACATATGGAATATATTAAAGGCCTTCCAAACATAAAGAATTTAATTTAAT